TTTGCGAGACATGCGTTCCCTGGCTGCTGCGAGCACGGAGGCTTATGGCTGGCTCGATTACTCGTTAAATAGGCAACAGATGGAGTCCATGTTTTTTACGTGAGGTTGCTGGCGTCGCGCCTTTCCCAGGTGCAAGATCTGTCCTTGTCACTGTTGGCTGGAAGGTGGTGACATGACTGCGTTGCGTGGCAGGTGGCTCATCGAAGGTGTCGGATTCTTTGCCATGTCTGAATCTAATTATTAGGGAAACTGGGTAGGATGTGTTTTTGATCAGGCCTTCGGCTTTGATTTATCGAAGATGTGCAGCTCTTACATCAAAGCCGACTCAAGCTTTCCCGGTAGATCGTATTTGTGCGGTGCAGGTTGGCAAAGCTGGGCCAAGCAGCATCAGGGCCAGGCTTGTTGTGTATGCGGGGCGAGTTTGTAGTACTCAGTACTTGCGCTAGTCACTCTAGTGCTATGCTGTAGTGCACAGTGCATGCTGTGAACAAGGTTGTGTAGCACCACCTACTCACCCTCCTGTGTGTGGCAGCATGTTGACGCTGTGTGATATAGTAATATAGTGGCATGCTTGTGTATGAGCTTGACAGTAAGTTCCGGATTTGTCCGGCCGCCCGCCCTAAGAGCTGATGCTCCGTTGGTTTGGTGTCCGGCAAAATGAGCCGTTGCCTGAGTGTGTAACATTTGCTTGGGTTAGAGTTGCTGCGTGCGTTTGTGGTGCAGCCGTGCCTGACAGGAGCATCGAGTTCAATGATCCCCCTCATGCTGGCAAAGCAAGGACTCTCTTTAGGCCTCGGTATGGTGCAGGCCTGGGTTGGTTCGATGTCATTTCCTTTGTGCGAATGCATGGGTCAGTGCTGCCTTCAAAGGTGATAATAGCAGCTGTGGTCCATTTTGTGCCGCCGATGGTGCGCATTAGTAGCAGCTGCAGCTGCTGCGTGATTGTCGGCGAGTTGCTTGGTTGGCTGTGACAGATTCCGCCTCCAATCTGGTGGCTCGTCCGAAGCTCTTGTGGGCAAATGTAGATACGCGGTGTGTGTCTCGCAGCGAGGTGCATGCGTGCATGTATCTGAGTGGGGAGCATACGTCCGTTGCTGGTGCTTGGTCTTGCGGTGTGTCTGTGCAAGCTTGAGCAACAACGGACATGTTGGCGCTTCTAAGCGCAGGGGTGTGTGTGTTTGTGTGCTTCCTGCCAGCAAAGTCTTGTGTGAGCATTTTGCTTTTTCCGTCCTCACGACCTTGCATCATGTCGGGGGTGGGCCCTGGCCTTCTGTGAGAAGGGATCTCTTCTTGTTTGGGCTGTCGACGGTCGAGAGTCCCACTTGCTATCGGGATTGCGTGAGACTCGTAGTGATCTCCACCGTCTTAGGGGTTGAAAAGTGAGGAATGCTGCTCGTGTGCTGCCAAGCGGTTGTGCTGATACTCCTGTGCACTAGCTTCCGTGCCTTGGTGTCGCAAAAGAACTTCCTCCTGCGTGTGGCATGCGTGTGTCACGTCGACTGCCTGCAGTGCTTTCGGATTGCTGGAAGCCTGGTGCCTGCCAACTAGCTAATAGTTTACAAAGACTTGTTTTAGTACCTAGCCGAGCCCTATGTTCGGGATTCTGAACCATAAGTTTGTTGAGGATCTTGCAGCCGTTATTCTGCATGCCAATGGTAACAGGCCTGTCCCATGGTTTTGAGTTGTAGCCATGATGCACACTGTGAGTGAAGTGAGCCTAACGTCGCCACGCAGTGTCTTCTGAAGGACACAACTGCATGGGCGCAGTCCTGTACCCGATACCAATGGTAGATTTTATGTGCGTCTTGGAAATCAATCCAGTGTGGACTGCGTCAGTCATGACTGCTTCCTGCCAGAATGGCTGATGTAACAGACAGCATGACGCTGGTCCGAATTAATGGATGCCGGGTGACCGGCCGACATAATGCCTGTGCTTGTCGCCGCTCCAGCAAGTAGAGCTTCACAGATTCACAGGGACATATGACATGCCGTGGCAAGTGTGTCATGGTGCTGGGATGTTTGCTGGGAGTGGTGGAGTTTCGCTTGAGGCTCGATGGCGTGATCAGTGGGTCAGATCACAATGCTTCATCCTCGCCACCTGTGCCACCTGCGGAGCTTGCTGCTTCTTCCAGGTTCCCCAACACATATGCGTCGAAAGTCGGGAAGACTTCTGATGGCATGTATAAGGTGCGGCCAAGGGCATATCAGAGTTTGTAAAAACTCCGTGCAATGGGCTTTTGGTTGGTTTGGAGTTGTGCGAAAATGTTTGCGTGGTTTTGATTGTGTGTCAGTCTCTGTGCCAGCGCAAAGTGTCTCGTGCATGAGAAGACTCTCGCTTTGCGCTCATATGCTTGTCGCAAAACCTTGCGCGGACAGGTTGCTGTGGGCATGACTGTCTCTGCGTATGTTAAATCTGGGTACCGGAATGTAACTAGCGTAACTAGCGATCGCTGTTCGGGGTGTCGTGTTTCTGTCAGTTCTCCACGGTGCGACTTTGTTGTCTTCTGAACAACAGTGTTGCCGTGAGGCTTGCTTCTCCAGCTACATGTCCATGATGTGCTCTTCGATATTTCCTCGCTGCACGACTTTTGGCTTGCAAATAACGACTTCGCCTTGTGCCTGTAGACTGTAGACATGATACATGGCTTTTTCTTTTAAGTTTGCAATGAGACCAATTGGGAGTGGCCAGGGCCGGGGTGCCCATAGGTACATTTGGCGTGCAACGGCTGTGCTTAGGACGCCTTTCAGCAGAGCAGAGTTTTCGCCTGTTGGTGGCCGCGTGCCTATGTGCCGTTGCCTTACAAATCTTGCATGCCATCAGTGGTCTTGTGGCGCTGTGGCGACATCTTGGGGTCACGTGGTGCTGCCTGCTACCGAGTCGGCGTTGTTGTCGTTGTTTCTTTCTGCTGAAGCTGAGGCTTTCCTTTGTGCATCCTGCCACTGGTGCTTTGCCCAGGGTGCGCTATTTCCAGAGCAGAAGCAGAAGCACGTCTCTGCTGGTCGAATCTATTGAATCTACTAGCAGGTTGTGGCTGGACGATATCATTGGGGTATGCTCCATGGTTTCTTGGCTGCCGGACTGTCGCAGGAATGCCATCTAGCATGTCGCCACGGTCGTGATGTGTTTCCAGGTATCTGTTCCCCCACTTTGTACTGTCGCATTTTTTTGGTCCTGCGCTCAGTGGTGAGAGGCATGGATATCGTATAAGTTTCACAGTGCATCAGTGTTTGACCGTACAAACACGATTAGGCATGCTCGTGCTGGATGACCGTAGGAGCACTGCTGTAGTGCCATGCAATTGGCCAACAACCGACCACGATTCGTGTGCTGTGACACTCAGGAACGTGTGGAGGGCTCCGCCACAGGCTTGGCTTCCTGTTGCTACTTTCTATTTGCTTGTCATGAAGTAACATGCCAGCTTTTGCAGTACCAATCTTTTGACGACGCAAATCCTTTTCCGCGAGAGTGTCCGCCCGCTGACTACAGTGACAACAGCTTAGACGGCCCGGAAAACCCGCGACTCTACGATGACAATGCTGCTGGAACTCGGCAAAGTGTTCTCGAACAAGAGCAGGAGATCTTGCTTGGGAGCAGCGCAACCGCTGCCCGTTCCAACGGTGCGGGTGGGCAGCCGACGATGGCGTCGCCCAGTGGCTTTCGCAAGCCTCCTCGTTCAGGTGCTCTTGTGCCTGAACGGCAAGACGAGGGCGCAGGATTGAATGCAGACACTGCAGATGTGGAGGAGGTGGACATGGAGGAAGTGGAACAAGGGCTGGAGGAGAGCAGTGACAGTGCAGCGGCAGGCGCGCCGAGCAGCCATGCAGGTGAGCTGCCGGTTGTCAAAGTGTGATGTTTTAAGCGTTGCGTCGCTGAAACTCTGAGTTGCAGTCTCGAGAGCCACCAAGGTGGCAGTCGTGTTGGCAGACGCAGCGTCGTAGTCGAAAGATCCATGTCGGGTAGGGTCGGATCGCGCTGGGGTGGGATGGGTTTACGGCTTACAGCCCGTGCGTTCCGCAAACCCTAAGGCTCTAAGTAGCGCAGGAGCCATGCCCCGTGACTCCTACGTAAACTCAACTCATGCCAAGGAGCTTCGGGTGTAAGTGTTAATATCATTGTTGTTGTTAATAGTTGACTTCGCCGTGTTTCGGTGCACAGCTTTGACTGGCTACGCGTGTCTAGCACTGGAGTGCCTTCTTACTGCAGTTGCAATTGTTGTGCATCCAAACACCTTGTGTCCCATGTCATGCTAGGTGTGTGCGCGGTTGGGGGTTGATGCGCGTAGGGTGATGACGGGCCGGGGCTTGAGAAGGTTGTACCGGGTCCGAAGGTATCGGTTGGTTGGGTTCGGCAGTACCCCCGACTCTCCATCTCCTGCATGTGGCAGCATGTTGCGTGACAAGCGGTCTTTGCTGAGATGTCCCACCTTGTTGGATTGTCTGCAGCCTCAAGTGGCTGGTTTGCTTCTCCGGGATGGGGCAGCAATTGTGCATGCAGAGCCCGCGCGATCGGGACATAAAAAAAGCAGCAAAGGGATTTAGAGAGTGTATTTCACGAATCGTGTGTGGTACAATCTCCACGGTGTGTCATGCGGAGTTTCGGCAATGTGCGGCCCCAGCAATGCCAGTATGGGTTCGGCTTGCTGGTGACACGTCTGGTCACAGGTTCGGCTTGCGCGTCAGCTCGGAGATGCAATCTTTTGTCGCCGGAAAGCTTGCTGGCTAGCTAGCATCGACTCACTGGTCCTACTTCAAGCCAATTATTTCCGGAGAAATCCTCGGCAGAAAACGGGGACGATCGCAGATAGGCTTCGCCAGCTCGGTTTTTGTTTCGAGCGTCTGGAACATCATCGGGCTGGAACGACGGCGTAGTGCCAGTTTCAGGGCCATTTCCGTTGAGGATAAGTGATTGCCTGGGCATTTCGCGAATTTGCAAAGATGGCTGTGGAGAATCTTCATTACAAGAAAATTCTTGAGTGATTTGGAAAACTGTGGTGTAGGCCATGCAGGTCGTGTTTGGAGGTTTCGCGTTGCTTGTCCTGGGTGTTGGAGCGCAGCTGAGCGACGACCTGTCGCGAGAGCAGCTGAAGCCTTTGACGGCGTTCCGCCAGCAACATCGTCGCTTGGTTCGCTTTTTGGTCCAGGTGACTGGTTCTTGCGTCCGAGAACCTGCCCTACACGTGGTTTGTGAGAGGTCGATGGTCGGCTGTGTGCCGCAGCGTTCGTGCAGGACATCTTGCTGACAGGGCAGTGATGGCTAATTAAATGTCAATGTCTCGAAGAGTTGTCAGTGTGCGTTTTGACCTACATGTCCGGGTGCGTGTAGAACCAGGACAAGCACGTGTACACAGGCTGCACCACGGTGCTGGGCTCAGGATTTGCGGACGTTGCATATTGCTGAAGTCTGAGCGAATGTGCAGTGCAGAGTGCAGAGTGCAGAGCTGTCTGTGATGACTTCAGGCTCCAAGCCCGAGCGGATCAAGTGGCAGGCCTTGGTGCTATGTTGAGCCGCAGGCGAGTGGTTTGCCGAGACGGAGCGTGGCCGGGTTTGTTTTATAGTTTCATGGCTCTGTGAAGCGTCTTGTGTAGTGTGAA